ATGGACAATGCCACGCTGGAAGAAGAAAGCCCAGAAAAAGGATTTGCTGCAGTGACACAGGTCCAACCCTGAGGATCCTGCTCCTTCCAGCCACCAGAACCTACTGGGACACATCCCCCTTCCCATCAGGGTGACTGGTTTCCACCCCCTCCCAGCCAGTCCCCAGAGGTGGCCACTCCTCTTGCAGTAATCCAGCCCTCCACCAAGCCCAGGTCTCCCAGATGCTGCCTTCCCTCCCAAACCATCCCTATCTTCCAGCCCCTTGCACGTTCCCTTCCCTCCTCTCCCTTGAAGACATCAGATTTCTGGAAACAATTTAGCTGTGAGCCACAAAGAGGCTTCCTTGGGCAGTGCTGTCTGCTGGAGGCCCTGCTCTCCCAAAATGTTTCGCATCCCCCCCCCCCCGGGGCAGCCACACCAGGGACCCCGCAGACCCTGCCCCTATTGGGAGCCTGCACAGCTGGGAGAGAGAAGCATCACTTTTGCCTTAAAAGCTTTTCAACTGGAGTAATAAAAAAAACAAAAAAAAAAAAAGTAATAAATATCAAAGGAAAGGCTTCCTCCCCTTCAAAGGGCGGGAGGGAGAGCAGCCGAGTGAGGGCTGGACCGGCCAAAAGCAGAGTGGGGACCCTGATCCTCTGGGGCTGGAGTGAGAGCACTTTCATTATGAGCTTTTGCAGAAGCAGAATGAAGCCTTAGGTGCAAGAACTGCCTTGAAATTCAATTTGGGGTGTTTAACTCTCCCCCTGCACCTTTGGAAACCTCGGCGGAAATGCAGCATAAGGAGGGCAGGGTTTGAAATCCTAGAGAAGGGCTGGGGAGGGGCGGAGGGAAGGAAAGCAAGCTGCCCCATCCTGCTCGGCAAAAAAACTTAATCCGAGGGGCCTTGGGCTTGCCAGCCTACCCCAGGGCTTACAGCTCTACCCTGCACCCCAAAAACACCCATGCTGTAGGCATTGCAGTGTCCCTCTTCTCCCTGCACTGCTCTTAGTGGGGCTTTAGTTGGGGGGGAAAGAGAAGGGAGGGAAGAAGAAAGAAAGAAACCCCGTATCGTAATTGCTATATTAAAGAGAAATAGCAGGCAAGAATAATAAGAGAGGTGTCAGAAGTGAAATACAGTAACAGACATTAAAAAAAAAAAAAAAAAAAAGACTACAGTTCTGCAATGGGGGTGTTAATTGAACACAGAGCTGGAGAGAACAAAGGGGTGTTAAGGAAGAAAAGAAGGGGGAAAAAAATCCTACCTCCTCCAAAGATCTGATTTGAGTTAAGTTTGGTGAAGATAATGCAAAGGGAAAGGTAGCTAAGAGGCACCTTATATAGCTATTATGTTCTAAAATTAAAAAAAAAAAAAGAAAAAAACAAACCCATTATTCAACAACAGTTGCACAGCTAATCAGTGCTGTCTATAAATATTCCACTTTGTAAATTCCCCCCGTCGGTGGTATGTACATTTTTCTTTTAAACCTGAATTCCTTCAACACAGAAGGGCAAGGGGGGTAGGAAAATGGAAGTCAGGGGATTTCAAATACAAAGTCAGGGTCTTTTTAAGAACTAAAATTTGCCTGATGCCCTCACCTCCCCCAAAAGAGCGGAGAAAGTGAAACGATGGGAAAAGCTCTTAAGGAGGAGGAATCAGATTAAATGGTCATATATCCTGCGCTCAGCCTCTCCCCGACGGTCCCTGCCGAACGAGATGGGAGTTGGGAAAGGCTCACAGCTGAAATAGATGCTGCTGCATTTTGACAGCAGATATTTTCCAGTTTGCCATCCAAGGACCCCACGTCTGTGTACGCCTTGCTTGATTCTTCTGCTTAGCTATTCTGCTCATGCAGAGAACAGCTTTAAAAAAAAAAAAAAAAAAACATACCAAGAGAGAGGGAAAAAAAAAAAAAAAACAAGGGGAAAAAAAAAAGCCATAAAGACAGAGCTCCTAGCCCTGCTTTCAAAGTTTTTATAAATCAGCAATGCAATTTCCGATTTCAATCCCTATTGACAGAGAAATCAATTGTATTTAGGACAACAATGCCTCCCATTTCCATAATTATTATTCCAAAAAGCCAGCCAGCCATTTGAAGGCAGTCCTGCCCCTTCCCTCGCAACAAAGCGACCAACAGCAAGTGAAAACACACCAAATGAACAACTTATACGTATATTTAAGCGGCAATTTTTCCCCCCTCCCCACATTGCTCTCGCTCAGATCAAACCTCTCAACTTTTCTACTTTTAAACAGCCATCACCCCAAAAGCAGCAATCTCCAGGTTGCAGACAAAAGACACTGAGCTTTTTTAAAAAAAAAAAAAAAAAAAAAGTGTTTATAAATGCTTTAAAATAACTGAAGAGCCCAAGTGCAAAAGGAAACTCTTTGGCCAATACAGACGACCTCTTTTTCTCAGAACTTTATGGACACTTTGGGTTTGCTCAAGACAACGTTAACACTATGAAATATTAGCCATAATGTTGCGAGAGACGGTGGTAAAGTCTCCGTAAGGCTCTGGAGTCACTTAAATCAGGCAGCGGGGTAACTGAACGCACATTTCTGCACATCATAACGCCGGGGGGAAGATGTACGCACGCACTTTCAAACACCCACCAGTGACCACAAACAATCACCAGGATTTCAAACGCGACACATGCAAAAATCTGGGAAGCAAAATGGAAAGCGGGAAGAGAGAAGTTGGATCAACTTTCACACCGCTGCCCACAAGGAAGGAGTAAGCAACCAGAAGCTGGCAGTACCCTCAGCCCCAGAAAAAACAAGGCTAACTTCCTCCTAGCGTTGGGCCCACAAAGCAATAATTTAAAAAAAAAAATAAAAATAAAACAAAACCATCTGGCCATTTGCTTCCTTACAAAGTGTGACTTTTGGGGACACAGATGGGGGAGAGGGGAGGAGGTCTTTGAATTTGCGAAGTAAAATAATTCACCGTAAACATATCCGAGGGTAGATAAACAATGCTCCAAAAGCCATCTCGATTCAACCTCTTCCGAGACCTCTATACAGCAGCCCCATAGCCAAGTAACCCAGGCACAAAAGCAACAACTAGAATTTAAAAAAAAATGTAAGAGCCCCAGTTCACATCTGAATATCCTTTATTTCCAGTAGCATGCTTCGCCCTATACCATCTCTGTTGATTTTCCTTAGCAGACAGGAATTATCCCACCCAGTCGCTGCGGGTATGTACAGCTCCCCACCTCTCCCCAGCTCACCAGGACCCCACAGCATCCCCGAGGTCACCTGGATTTCCCACCAGGTTTGGTCCTAGCAGACTCCCCATTCCCTAACTTTGCAACCGCACCGATAGCAAAGCCGAGCTGGGATTCATCAGTTGCCCTGCCAAAAAGTACCCCTGCACGGGCAACACACGCAGCATCAAACACACGTGGAGAAAAGGCAGACAAACATTTTCTTTGGCTCACACAAAACACAAGGAGAAAGAGGGAAGAGGGAAAGGAACTTGGTGGCTCCTTTTTTTGAGGTGGCATGCAGGGAAATGCTATATAACCCCTAAAATTTATCTCTAGGCAGACTCCCGCACATCGTACGAACCCCACGAAGGTTCCCATACCGAACCCACTGCTTGATACTATGGAAAACCCCAAAAGGAAGGGCTCCTCGGGAAGGTCAGACCCAGCCATGCAGCCGTGAGGACTCCAGAGAGCCGAATGCCATCGGTAGGTGCTTTGTCTGGGCTACACGCTGCACAAACAATGTTTAACAAAGGGGCCCCTTAGTCATTTTATATATATTGCAAGAGTCAAGTAATTGTATTTTCAATCAACTGCTCACGCTAGAAGATTTTATATATATTTAAGAAAGGAATAAAAAAAAAAAAAAAAAAAAAAGACCCAGATTCAGGTTTCTGAAAGCTGTTCCCCTTTTATGTGTAACTATCAATGTATATCAACTGGGTGTGCAATCATATTTATTGTCACTTTCATTCATGTCATGCCCTTGCTTATATGGTTTAGATATGAATTATTGACTGTTACAGTCCTTGTTGTAAAAGGGGAGGGGGGGGAGAGAAGTCAAGTACTTTTCAGCGTGCTAAAACAAGGCAGCTAGATCAGCATGGAAGAGCCTGCTGATCAACTCTGGTCGGCTCAGAAAGCCAACAGCAGAGACGAACCCCACCCCCCATCAAATTTCCATCATTCCCCCCATTTTTTTAATTAAAAAAAAAAAAAAGATTCCAACAAATACATAAATAAGTGGCGCATGTTGCTAAATGTCCTTCCCTGAGCATCTGTTGTTTAAGATCACCCTTGATTGATGACTGCTATTTTTTAATTGTTGCTTTTAAAATTTAAATGCCCCCCTGGGATGTGTTATAAGTGTGTTAGTACATGGTAGGAGGTCTGGAAAGTGGGAAACGGCAGAACCAACGCTCTCATGCCATTAGCTTCTTTAGAAGCCTGAGAACACCCCATGCCATAAAACAACAGTACCCTAAAGTAACTAACAATCTAATATATTGCTTTCACTAAAGGCAACTGACAACTCGCTCTTACATGAGCTAGCCTGGATGATTGGCAGACAAGAGCATTTTAACCCTTTCTTTTAAAAAAAAAAAAAAGTAAGAAACCTTTATGTTTACCTGAATAGTGATAGTAGTAAAACCGCACAATTTCATTTTGTTGGGTTATTCCCCCCCACTCTGTACTCATTTTTTTTTTTTTTTAAACAGTGTCATGTCTTAAAGAAGAAACTATAACAAGAGAGAAATTTCAAAGGTTCTGATTTTTTTTTTTCTTCTCCCTAGAAAAAGCAATAAATAAAAAGGGGCTATACAATAGAAATTAAACCACGGTATTTTCCCTTCCAGACACAAACTGCATCATGCAAGTCCACTGCCATAAGCATTAAATACCGGCAAGTTATCTCTCCCCACCAAAATACTGCTATATGGGAAGGTGGGGGGGCCCACAAACTTGGTGGAATAAAACCCTCAAAGAGCAAAACCGAAAATAATACAGAACCAACAGCATTGATTTCCTACCTGTCTTTTCTTTGATTTCACACAAGACATTAAAAAGGGCTGGCTTCATCCTGTGGCAGTTTAAAGCGTGTTTCCTGGAGAGAAAAGGAAAGAGGAGAGGGTGAGATTAGGATGTCACCACGAGGAACAACTTCCCGAATCCACGCCGGCTGGCGTGTGCGTGCCGGGGGCAAGGGGGACCCGTCTGAGCCCCCTCGGCCCTGCCTCCATCCCTGCTAGGACTTGAGCACCAGCGCTGCAAACAGCCACCTACCCAACGCAGAGGAGATGAATTACGCCAATTTAGGAATGGCTCGAAAATCGCCTTTGCCACCGCGCGGCTCCCACCGCCGGCGCGAGCCAGGCGATGCACCCAGCCGAAGCCAGCAGCTTTTGGGAGCCAAGCTCCCTTCGACTGTCTTATTCAAAACACAGAGAGCGCACTGGGCTCTCCTCATCCCCCCACCTCCAATATTAAACCCATGTGCTTTATTAGGCTTGCCCTGCAAGGCAGAAGGGAAAATAACACACACACACACACACCCGCTCCCACCACTTGCCCCAGCGCTGGAAACATTCTCTGCTTAGAGCTGTCAATTCGGGGAATTTCAGCGCCCAACTTGGAGTGCAGACACACACGCACACGTCTGGAGAGAGAAAGGCATTCCTCTGCCTCCATGCTACTTACATCCAGCTTATTTGCAGGTGTTAAAATTTAATTCTTTACAATTGGGACAGTAAACACATTTAAAAACACAGCCAGCTGCTGCTGGGAAGGGGAGGGTGTGCTGTTCAACGCCTTTCTTTTCGGCTGCTGTTATTTCAGAGCTGACCGTTCTCCTGTGGGTTTTGAGGAGAAAGTTGGGGGATGATTTTAATCAGCTGGTTTTAAAACCCACCACGTGCCCCCTGAGGTAAAGAAACAGTATGATTTTATTTTTTCTCTTCAGCCATACGATCATTTAGCCAAGGGTTTAGTTGTATAAAGGGCTGTTGCTATCAGGCACCGGTTACGGGATTTCTGTTTACCAACCGAAATTACACACGAAAGACGATGTGAACATCTGGCAAACATTCACAGTACTTACCCCACCACCCACAACATGTTAAAAAAGATTTATATATCTGATGAAGTCTCTCAAAGGTATATACCCTTGCAGAACCACAGCGTCCCCTTATCAGCACACCCAGATGGGCGCAGACATTTGGGTATACACAAATCACGTACATATGCTGCAGGGGCCCTCTTACAAATAATAGTGGCACTTCGCATCTTCCCAAAACTTCATTTTGAAATAAATAAATAAATGAGGCAGCAAAACAACCGTGCAATAGCAGGATGTATGGAGGAAATGCAAAGCCAAACATCACTGATAAACACGGTCTGTTTGGCAGCTCAGCATTAAAAATACTAATAATTAAAAAAAAAAAAAAAGTACTGTGAGGAAAAAGCTAAAATAGTCCAGCAAGGTAAACCCATAAAGCCTTCTCCTAGCTCCGTTCTGCTTTGGTTTTATTGATTTGATTAACTACACTAAATTATCCAGGCAGGAACACACACAATCCCTGCAACTTTCCAAAAGAAGATCCCCCCACTGCCCCAGATCTGGCCGGGGAGAAAGTGCATGGTTTCCTCCTTCTCAACCTAACAGCTACTATGCCCCTGCAAGAACATAAGAAAATTAGTAAAATCAGCCCAGCAATGAGCCTTTTTGATAAGTAGGAGCTTTATACAAGCTGGGGAGGCGGGGAGGATGTAAACTGAGGTTTGGGGGGTACTTTCATCTTTCTGGAAGTTCTTACTAAGCGAGTTTTGGGGCTGTGCAGAACGTTTTTCCAGGAACAATGTATTCTAGCAATCTGCTCCAGCTCAGGGCATGAATGCCAGGGGGAAGGACACCACACCTAGCAGCTCTGCAGCCCACAAGAAATTCCAAGTGTACCCCAGGCAATTAAGAGCAACTTTTTTTTTTTTTGAATTCTTTCAGCTGTGCCTTCAATTTGTGAATGATTTATTTTTTTTTTCCCCCCTCCCCTAACTTTTGCTAGTGCCTTTGAAGGTGCGTATTAGGTTTGCACTCCTTGAAGCCGGGGGCAATTCGGTTACCGGCTTCTACAGCGTTTTTTTTTTTTTTTTTTCTTTTTTAAATACCTCTGCAATTAAGGGGATAAAAAAAAAAAAGGAAAGCTTCTATGTGCGTCCTCCGAGCGTAAAAAACACGGCCTTAAGAATAACACCACTACAGGGGCCTAAACAAGAACATTATTAACGCCCTTAAAAAAAAAAAAAAAAAAAAAAAATGGAGCAGCACTTTGTGCCTCTTTCGGAGGAGCCTAAAGCAGAGCCCCCCGCACGCCCAGCCTGCTCCAACAACCATCCCCCTTCGGAATTAACCTCCCCACCCCAAAAAGGCTGGGAAAAGCCAGGCCGGCTCCCCGGCCGAGCCCGAGTTTGGGACCCTCGGTGGGGAAGGGGCCGAGGAGAGACGAGCTTGGGGTTGGGAGGGGAAGCGCTGCGACCCTCAGAAATCTCCAAAGAAGTTAGGAGGAGGAGAAAAAAAAAAAAAAAAAGGGGGGGGGGGGATATTAACCCGTCCCTTTTATTTTTTCCGTTTCCCCCCCCCCCCGCAAATTTCTTAGGAGCCCCGTCCCCGCGCGATGCGCCCCGCGGCCGGACAACAAAGGCCGAGCCGGGGCGCGGGGGAAAGTTCCCCGGCACCTGCCCCCCCCCCCCAATAAATAAATAAATAAAATAAATTAAAAACAAAAACAAAACACCCCCCCCCTCCCCCCCTCGCCGCTCTCACCTGGCCTGCGCTTCGTCCAAACTCTGGTCCGTGATGGTCATGATCTGCTGTAAGATGTCTCCGATGTCCTGCTTCCTGCCTGCCTCCCCCTCCGCCCCGCCTGGTCCATCCTGCATGTGCTGGGACAGGCCCGGGTGCCCCGGCATCCCCACCCCGCTGTGCGTGTGCATCAGCCGCGGCTGGTCATCCATCGCCGGCCGCCGGCCCCTGCCCTGGCTGCCGGGAGCGGCGCGGCTGGGCTGGCCGCCTGGCTCCTCGCTTTCTTTTCTTGCTCGCTTTCTTCTTCTTCTTTCCTCTCCCCCCCCCCTTCTTCTCCTTCTCCTCCTCCTCCTCCTCCTCCTCCTCCCCAGCCTCTTCCTCTTCGCTTTTTATTTATCCTTCACGCTGGCGCCCGGCTCCGCGGCGGGGAGGAAGAGGAGGAGGAGGAGGGAAAAATTAAAAAAAAAAAAAAAAAAAAAAAAAAAAAAGAGGGGGAAAAAAAAAAAAAAAAGAGAGATAGAGAAAAGAAAGGGGGAAAAAATCCCTTTGGCTGCTGGAGGAGGAGGGAGGGAGGAGGGAGGGAGGGAAGGAGGGAAGGAGGAGGGAGGGAGGGGGGGGGGTTCCGGGGAAGGGAGGGGAAACGGCGGCGACTCCAAAAGCAGGGCAGCTGAGCCCCGCGCCCGGGGAGGCGGCGGGCGGGCCGGCGGGGGTGGGGGCCGGCGGGGCAGCGGCTGCGCCCGGGGAGGCGGCGGCGGCACCGGCAGCAACGGCCGCAGCGGGGCGGAGCGGGGCGGCCGCCCGCGATGGCAGCGCCGGGGCCCCCCGCGCTCCGTCGGGGAGGGGAGGGGGGGGGGGTGGAACGGAGGGATTCCAAACTTTCCCCCCCGCCACCAAACCACCCTCCGGCAGCGTTCGGGGCTGGCTGGCGGCCCGCACCGCTCCGCCGCCGGCGGCAGCGGCGGCAGCAGCAGCAGCAGCGGGGGCCGCCCGCCCTCCGCCGGGCCTGCGCGCACCGCTCCCGGCCCTCGCCGCCTGCTTTTGTTCGGCTCCGGACTCCTCAAACTGGCACGAAGGAGCCCGGGGAGGGCGGGGGGGGGGGGGGGAGCGGCGGGGCGGGGGGGGGGGGGGGGGAGGAAGGGGCAGCGGCACCTCCCCGCCCCCCCCCCCCCCCCCCCGGCCCTATTGGCGGCGGCGGCGGGAAGGCCGGCCCCCGCGGGCCGCCCCGCCTCCTCCGCGGCCGCCCGTCAATCTCCGGGTTCAGAGGTGGGCCGGGGGCCGCGCCCCGCCCGCGCCTTAAAGCGGCCTCGGCCGCCGCCGCCGGCGGGGCGGGGAATGGGGGCGGCCCGTGGGGGTGCCCCCCACTCACCCACCCACTCGCCCTCACCGCGCCTTCCGCCTCCCCTCAGCCCTCCATCCCGGCTCTGACTCCCCACGCTGCCCCCACACAAGCTCCGGCTGGGAGCAGGGTGCCCCCTCCCCGGTACCTCCCACACACACCCACCCCCCCCCCCCAGATTGATCCTCCTCACCTCAGCCGCTGGTGTCTCCTCACGGTGCCATTTCTCTCCTTCCTCCTCACCCACCCAGGCGGTCCCGTGAGTGGGTACTTGCCCCATGCCTGCCCGAGGAAGGGCAGGGAAAGCTTCCAGAGGTCCCAAGGCCGCCAGGACTGCCCTTCAGACCTGCGTGTCGCCACGCTCTGGAGAGGGGGGAGGACTGCCCCAGCTCCTTCCTGCATCTCAGGCTGTCCTGTGGCCAAAAAGACCTCTGTAGGCATGGCCTGGTGAGCAGGGGCGGCCCCGGGAGTGGGCTTGCCTGCAAATTTGTATTTCAAAAAGAATAAATAAAACACAGTGACAACGATACAAGACCTCCTCGCGTGGGAGATGATTTCTTCAGAATGCCCCCTTCTCAGATCTGAGGGTTGCCAGCTCCAGGCGCCTCATAACACAAGGGAAGACGGGCCCAGCCCCAGTCCCCGACCTCAGCACAGGTTGGGGAAAGGACCATCAAGGTGATCACAAAGAGAAAAAAAAAAAAAAATACAGGGCAATTGTTTTGCTTCCACTCATCCTTTTTAATGAAACACTTTCCAGTGTTTTAAGCAAAACATGACTTTTCATTTTGAAATTTTCTTTCGAACCATTAAAATGTTTTAAAGTGGTTGAAGGCGAAGTGAGATGTTTTGATTTTTGTCGCTATGAAATGTTTCACTCCACACATTCTTTGTGTTGCCTGATTTGCAAAAATTTTTCAAAGGTTTCTGCTTTCTCGCCCAAGACATATCTGTACATTTTTTACTTTTTTGAAAAGGCGAAAAAGGAGGAGGCAGAAAAATATCCTTTATCTCCATGGCTCCACAGGAAACGGAACTTTATCCAAGAAACAAGAAGCCAAGGGACTCCCCTCCAGAGGTCCAAACTTTCAGACACTTAGTCATCCCTTCACGCACTTGCTCACGCACCGAGTCTAGACATAGGCTGTCTCAGACTCTGGCAGGGACTCTCCCATCCCCAGAGGTCAGCCCAGGGTCTTTTGGGTTTGATTCTGAGTGGCTCCCGGGAGAGGCCAGAGCAGCAGAGCTGAACGCGCACAGGGGAACGGGGAGCGGCGGCTGCGGGGAGACAGACGGGGACACTGGGGACCACGGGACGTGGTGGCCTGCTGACCCCGCAGACGCTTGTATTGCACGTCCTCCCCCTGTTTCCCGAGTCACGACGTGATGCCTCAGCACATCAGGTAGACACGAGAGACGGGGAGCCAGAAGACCCTTGGGGGAGCCGGCATGGGTAGGGTACAAGGCACACGTAGGGGCGAGGCGAGTTTTCTGTGGGGTCGGTGAGCCTCAGGCAGCCCCACGGCATCTCACAGGGAGAGGGGCAGAGTGATCCGAGCTGCTCCGAGAGAGGCATCCCAGCACCGGTCCTTGGAGGAGCCATCGAGCCAACTCAGAAATGGCCAGGACTCTGCCTCTGCCGTCTGCTGGAGTCTGTAAAATCCTTCCTGTCAGAGATAACTAATCCTGGGGCCTTTACAACGCCTCTCTTGAAAAGCACATTTCATTCCTCCGTCTCCTCCTGCCTTCCAAGTGCATGAGATTGCAATAGGTATTACTGAAAATATTCCCCGTGGGAGCTGACACTGGACTCCCTTAAAACCCAAACACTATCACCCCTCCTTCCCCAAGACACAAGCGAGCGCTATGCTCTATTATCTCTACACCCACTAAATCTTTCTGAAATAAAGAATAAACATTTCCACCACACATAGTGTAAGTGTATGTGCCAAGCTACATCGCTTCCTCTCCTCTGTGGTTGTTATAAAGTGGTTTTGTTTCAATGGTGAAGCGGATGGACAGATTCCAAGTCTGGCGTCCCCACTCCCTCCAAGTACGTCTAAAGCTATCTTTGGTTTATCGCAGATTCCTGAAGAAAATGTTTATGGGAGCCTCTTGTTTAAAGTCTTGGCTCCATCGCAGCATAATTCCTATTATTTATTAAATGAAAATCAAGCTGTTGTTAATGCACCATTACTGTGGCAAAGCGGAGCTCTTGAAAGCAAAGGCTATTTCTCTGAGCACAAGGGAAGTATCTCCCCATCATCGTCGCTCAACGCTCACACCGCAACGGGATAAAAAGCGGTCTCCTGGCCTGTGACTCCTTAAACATTTTCTTTTTGGTAAGGAGAGCCATGGACTCTTTTGCTTTGCTGTCCAAAACCTGACATCCCAGAGTCAGGCAGTGTGCAGGTTGTACATAACGCCATCGGAGGGGCTTTACCCGAGACCCCTCTGTGCCAATGTCTTTCTCCGTTCACCATGACCAAATTCATTTTCCTCCCTCTTCTACAATTTTCCTCTAACATATTCCATGGAAAAACCAAAGCCCTTCACATTTCCCAGCCAGCCGCAGGCCCTGTGACACAATATTCTCTGTATGGATGGTTTCTCTTGGGTTGAAGTGTGGCAGAGTTTACATTCCTAACTGGTTTTCAGAGGAGATTCTTAAATTTTCCCGGAAATGTTGTGTTGCTGCTTTGAGCTGATTGTTTACTTGTCAATTTAGTCATTAACCTTCTTCCTTACTCCTCTAGCTTTTGGTAAGACAGAAAATGTCAAAGGGAAGGGAAATAGGCTCAGAATGATTTCCCCTGGTGAAGGATCCCAGTCGCCAGAAGCAAAGGGAGTTTTCTCATCAATTTTAGCGAGACATGGTTTCACTCACCGTGCCAGGTTAAATCAGTGTTCAAGTTTTTTGCAGGGCTTGTATGTTAGACTTTAGCAAAGTACCTGGGTCTTCTGGAGTGATCTCAATCTGTAGACTTCAAAGCCCTTTCCAAATGAGCTGAAGACCGCTGATCTCAGTTAAGGTGGCCAGGCAGTGGGAGAGCCAGAAATGGATTCCCACTCACCCCACTCCCAGCCTCACATTCAGAGCCCCACAGCACACCGACTTCACCATGGTCATGGCGTATTCTATTATGAAATGCATGTCTTAATTAATGCATTGCTTATTAATATGTCCTATCCACAAAATTACTGCAAACAACCTGACCGCGGGTAAAATGCTACAACCACAGGAGGGGGATCAACTTCTGTTCACGCAAAAATTTGTTGCATCTAAATTTGTTGTTTGTTGCTTATTCAAATGCAAGTAACAAAATTCTTACCATCAGAAGTTTACCAAAAAGGAAAATGGCTTTTCCCAATAGCTGACATAAACATGTAAGTGCTACCAAACATATTTACATGTTTGAAATAGATGGTATAATTACAATGAGTTATAGTCAATATTCAGTCTTTCCCCGGTTTAAATGCTACCTTCTGATACAGCACAACACATCCTTTAATTGTGATCACGTGCTCTTTCTTAGAGACTGCTGCAATTTTTTTCCCACAAAAACGTCTATAATTGAAAAGAAAATGGCACTGTTTAAAATAAATTCTCTGCCGTCCTGGAAATAAACAGGTGACTTCCTTTACAGAATGTCCTATTTCTGGGACTTCTACATCAGAGCAAGCCATCTGCAACATCATTTTGGACATTTTTCCAGAACCTAAACTTGAATTTCAGCAAAGAAATGCAGTTTTTGAAGACTGAAAAAAAAAATGCAACGAGGATTTTGAAAACAAGTCAGGTAAATGCTATCAGAGGAAATATCAACAAAAGCAGTCATAGAGTCCTCCAATAAAAGCAGGTCCATTCCAGACTCAACAAAAAAGGTCTGTTTCCCTCTTTCAGCCAATACTGATGTTCCTCAAAGGATACAAAATAGCCGTTAAATTCACTTTTATCTAGTGCGCCTCACATTCTGCGCAGTGCTTTTAAAAAGAAGAAGCCGCATTAGAGGGACAAACAGTGGGACAAACACATGACTATATTCCATAGCTTTTCCATGAGAACTCACAAGTCGGGCCTCCAAATGAGACCTTCTCTCCAGCACCAGCAATATGGCCTCATTTTTGTAGTTAGCCCATTTTCAGATGATTTACTAAGAAGGCATATC